CAAGCTAACATATGCTAACACAACGAGTGAGAGTATTAACTGGTCTAATTATTTTATTAGACCAGTATATATTATTAGATTATACTGGCATAATTATATATATATATATATATATATAAAATGTATATATAATATATAGTGCCTGTTCATTACAACTATTTAACACTGGGAAGGGATCAGGATAAGGATTTGGGATTGGATGGGGAGGAATGGTGCCAAACCACTTGGACGGCGGTCGGGGATTGAACGCCTAGGACTGCTACTGTGCATTTAAATTACTAACTTACCTGAGAGTCTATATCCCTACATGTCAATGTTTGTGTATACTGGTAATGTGAGGAACATACAAAAGATAAGGGTAGCTGAACACCACAAAATGCTGAAGGACAACTTTATTAAAGTTGCATAATGAAATGTGTAAGTACTTCATTCATAATGATGTGCTGCCCGAAATCTTAGCGAAGTATCCAAAATTTGCTTACTGTAGGTAATGCATGCACATGACTGTAAAGCTGCCGCCCAGTTGGGTGGGTGTGGAGCACATGACTGTAAAGCTGCCGCCCAGTTGGGTGGGTGAGGAGCAAGACTAGTAACTGTGTGACTCACTATAGATGTAAAGTGCCTTTTATAGTGACTGTTGTGAGCCTCTTGTGTAGTACATGTGTATACAACATTAATAATTTTGTAACTAGCGTCAAACAATAATAATAATAATAATAATAATAATAATATATAAATAATAATAAAACATTGTTATTTGCTTAGCTAAACAAACTAGAGGGTTCAGTTCCTGAACCGATTATGTGCCTCTGTAATCCTTTACACCACCGCCCACGGGATGGGTATGGGGTGCATAATAAAGAAAGAAATAGAAGAAATTGAAATTGCATAATACGGTTATTGACATTCAATAATAGTAAGATACAGCAATGAGGACCAAATGGGAGACCAGTGATCAGATGAATATTATAGGCTCAAGGGTAGCCTTCTCTTCTTGTATATAAATGAATAAATAAATTCGTTTGTTTAATTCTAATGCTTGTAGGCGAGAACAGTTGTGAATGCCAGCTAGCGCACAAGTACATGAGCGCCCAAAATACTTTTACACAAAAGACATGTACAGACAGGCGTGTGGCTTCTGACTTCGCTTTTATTGATTAATATTAAATATTAGGCGCTTACCTATAATAGTTATCATTTTATACAAGTATAACTCTCACATAATAAACATAAAAGGAGTTTATCCAAAAACTGACAGAGTGTTGTGTTTTGTGCGTTGTATCGTGTTTGTGGGCATTCGGGTGTGTTGTGTTTACGCTGGCGGGCGGCGTCCTTACCAACTCCGGATTATGTCTATTACATCACTAAATTTCATTTAATAACTATATACAGAGCACCACTTATATTGGTTTTTATATGAACACGTACACATTGGGTACGAGACCCTGGTCGAAGTGGTAACATGTGTGCGATGTTCGTACGGAGTGTCGAGAACATGGAAGAAAAAAAAACACTAGAAAAATTTATGAAAAAATCTCTAGGGCTTGAAAACACACCTCGACAGAATGTTCATAGCGTAAATGTTCGACCGTATTTGTTAGAGTGGGGTTTGATACTCACCAGAGCAATTGAAGTCCTGATCCGCTTATGTTGATGAGAAAAAAAAATAGAAAAATGTATGAAAAAACTCTAGGGGAAAATCATAGGTTATTTACATGGAAGAGGTGTACTCACCAATAATTGAAATGGCTTATGTTGATGATCGATGTTGATGAAGCATAGTTATTTACATGGAAGAGGTGGTGGTGGATGTTGAAGTTGTTGGGGTTGACTGGGTCAGCATGCGATGAGTCAGGTGCAGGTGATGCAATGCGAGCTTTCTTGGAAGCCATTGCAAAAGACTCTTTAATTGACATTTGTTTCATTCCCTTGGCTCTTGTTTTTAAAAACTTCATATACAAATTGTACTGACTTCTCATGTCCTTAGTTTCATACTCGCTGTAACTTTTGAGTAATTTTCATTGCTTGGTGAAATTCACACGCCTTTTCCACGAGCAGCCAGCCTGCCACTGGCTTCATCACCTCACATCTCTGTTTGTACCACTCCCACACTGCATTATCAACACTCTCCACCTTTGCTTTACTTACTACCTTTCTATTTCATATGGCCTTATCACTTTCACTTCTAGAGAAATAGTAAAAAATTATAGGTTTAGCCTTAAGAAGATCAAAAACAGTACTTTTACTAATGCCATATTCAGCGCACACGATACTTCTCGGGACACCGCTCTCCACCTTAATTATTTCAACTTTCTTCTCAAATGTCATCACTGACCTCTTTCTTTTATGTAACCCGCTTGTAGATGCTTTCACTGACACAATGCGTGCATTTGGAGTCGACATGGTGCACGGATGTTCCTTGATTGTGCTGATATGTAAAACAAAGTCACGGAATGAACACTCCAGTCTTGTGACAAATTCAATCAATGGGAACAATAGGCCGTGAATCTGTGACGTCACAGGGTAGCAGGCACCAGAGTAGTGGTGCCCGACACGGTCAGTGGGCAAACTAAACCATCTCTCACCCACCCACCACCACGCGCCGGTGCGACACTTGGCAAACCACTTCCTCACCCGAACTTGGTTCGTGTAGGGTAACCCCAATATCAGCCGGCGTGAAGCTTGGCGGACTACTTCCTACCCGAACTTAGTTTGTGTAGCGTGACTCCCCAACCCCAATCGGGAAACTGGAAGTTTCGGATAACTAAAGTTCAGGAACCAAGTGGTGCTCTGTACCAGTATACAATATTAGTAAATATAACGAATCATTGCCCATGTCTATGCTTATTAATATGAAGAAATTCCTCCAAAACTTGCAGAAATGAAAAAGAATTTACAGAGATATCTTATATTAAAAGCTGTTTTTAAACATTAAATTTATCAATTAAAACAGAGACAGTTGGATGCCGAAGATAACGGAGGGTATGCAAATATCAACTGTCAAGAACTATGTACATTATATGGTACAGTATATAAAGCAAATATATAATATGGGACGCAAAGAACTTTTATCATAACCTTTTGTACACATATGGAAAAAAAACTGACCCCAAAATTTCTATGATGTCATGATGTCATGTAGACATGATCATTTGAATGATGACTGAAGGAACTGGTGCTGGGATGGCTATAATACATCTCTATAGTTGTTTTACACTTCTGTATTCATGTACAGTAATCTCAACTCTTACAGGCTAAATAAAACACTTACGGCACAGTACACTACATATATGAAAACAAGAGGACAACATGTCTGTTCTTACCGACTAATTTCTGTTAATTGATTCCCTCAACCTTTACCTGTGTCTAGTAGCAGCAACAGACATTCAAAACTTGTATGCGAGTTCTTAGATAAAAATACTACACATAAATGTGCAGAATATACAAACCTCACTATTAGTGACTTTGGGTGTGGAAGGGTGAAAGGGATCCACATTGCCTCCATCACCACCATTTCTGGCTCAAAATGGCACTATCACATGATAATGTATTCTCCCATCCCCTTCTTGCATCCTTTAGCATCTGTATAATGTTAATGTTTCTAGTATACACATAATTAAGAGAAATATAGCCAAAAATAAAAGTTCTCTTACTTTGTGAAGTTTACTAACTGCTAAGTTGATGTAGAAAATTTGAGTGCGAGTTACGGTCAGTTAACCAAATACAGTATTATCAATAAAAATTTATATAACTTTTCTAAGCTATCCAACTCAGTCACTTCCTAAAATAAGATCCATCCCACTTCCAGATACAATCTTCCACAGACAGAGCAGGTTAACACTCCCCACCAAGTAAGGCAGGAAACTTTTCAAACTGTCCCTGTCCAGTCATATTGATGCTAGGAAGAAACTGGAAAATGTAGATACAGTACAAGTGATTTACATGAACCCAAATAAATTTCCCCGGAGCAACTTGTCAACACTGACATCAAAAAGCTGATGTGCCTTGGCTAATATCACATGGAGCAAGTGGCACCCCATCCTCGGGGGAAAGGGGAAGGTGGCAAGTAAATACAGAGGAATATGAAGTACACTTCCATAGTAACACCCAACAGACAAAAAATTAAAAAATTGAAAAACACAAAATTGAAATAAATCAAGTGAGAAGGCAACGGATGCCAAAACAATCAGTAGTTTCAAAACATCACATGACAAAGTACTGGGAAGATGGGGCACCTTGAGTGTAGCTCTCGTCCTAAGTAATTATATGTTGTGATAAGAGTATGCTCTATGCTAAATTTGGTCTTTACTACAAAAGAAGGAGATATTTGACATTATTTGACATTCAGTATCTTACTCCATTGGACAAGAGCAACCATGTCCTTTTGGAAATCAAATATGCAATATGTTATAATCTAGAAGAAAATGGGAAAAAAATTAAACAATTGAAAACCTTGATTTCATGAGAGAACAATATGGGGAACCTGGCAAGATCTTTAATGAATTTGATTGGAAAGATTTATTGTTAGGCAAGTAAGTAAATGGAAGTAAATGTTAGGGAAGGAAGTAAATGAGTCCAAATTTTGACCTCTAGTGTCCAATTCATAAAGCAGTTACGCAAGCACTTACGAACCTATACGTTTTTTCTCAATCTTTGGCGGCTTTGTTTACAATTGTTAATCAGTTAATGAGCTCCGAAGTACCATGAGGCTGTTTATAATAACAACAACAGTTGACTGGGAAGTTTTCATGCTTGTACACTGTTTAATAAATGTAATCAAAGCCATCAAAGATTGAGGAAAGACGTACATGTTCGTAAGTACTTGCATAACTGTTTCGTGAATCAGGCCCCTGGTAGTTAGCAGCAGGGAATTTCCAGATGAGCCCTCCACAGAACGTATACCCAGTATTTTCCAGCAATGCATCCCCCATGTAGTACCATCACCTGTACCTAATATTTCCAAGAATACATTTACAAACTACAGTACGTTAGTACAGTACCTGGAGCAGTATGCTGGCCGAGCACACACACAGTGGAAACATTGTGGTGATGGTGAGGATGGCAATGATTAATGCTGCCACACTATCTGCTGCTTGATAGTTGCTGTAAGGAATAAAGTACAAATATGTTATTGCATAATCAAAATATATATATTTATATGTATTTTAAGTTTACAATATCATATTTTTTGTATAATACCTGGTTGGTTGATACCTGGTTGATGGGGTTCTGGGAGTTCTTTTACTCCCCAAGCCCGGCCCGAGGCCAGGCTCGACTTGTGAGAGTTTGGTCCACCAGGCTGTTGCTTGGAGCGGCCCGCAGGGCCACGTACCCACCACAGCCCGGCTGATCCGGAACTTCTCTTAGAAAACCGTCCAGTTTTCTCTTGAAAAAAACCAGCGTTGAATGTAATGAAACGCCATTTTCTGGGCGAGTCCCGGAGGCTCCCCGGAGCTATCCAGGCTGATATGGATATCCTAACTATTTGGCATCAGTCGATGTGGGTGGAGTTCTAGGCCTACCGGGGACCACGAGCCAGAACCTGGCCCCCTCAGAGAGGCACGAGGAGCAATGGCCCATAGAAATGCACATGTGATTTGGAGCATTCTATATCTGCCATCGACCGGGACAGGCACCCAGAAAGGTAAGCGCCTCAAAACAAACCCCTATTCTGGTTAAAAACGAAAATAGACAAACGAGTGGACAGAACTCCCCAAATGAAAACGAGCAAACAAGCATGACGTCACACGAGCCGCGCCGCATGTCTGCGCAGCTCCCCCCTCCCCGGGAGGGGGAAGGGGGAGCCCCAGACCCCCGAGCCAGCGATCCACACACCAGTTCTGAGGCTGGATATCAAAAACCGCGCAAAAAAAACGCCGACCGGAGGGAGGGAGGGTTGCCGGGGAGCCTCCGGGACTCACCCAGAAAATGGCGTTTCATTACATTCAACGCTGGTTTTCTGGGGGGAGCCCCTACGGCTCCCCGGAGCTACTTCACCAAAGACTAAAAGGAGAAAAAAGGGGACTTACCCGGGAGGCGGTCGGTGCTCCACATCTCAACTTGAAGTCGAGACAATGGGCTGCAGCCGCCGACCCAAAGCGACACAGGCCCGACTAGGCCTAGGAACGTTAACGAGGTAGCATGCAGCCAGGACCCTGTTCGACCGCCAAAAACCCCGTGCCCGAATGTCAGCCCAGGACATGTTACCAAAGACGGCAGCAAGAGCAGCAAACTTACGAACGTCATGGGCACGGGGATAGACTGCAGGCTGGCTAGACTTAATAACCCTGCGGATGACCTGAGAGACCCGTACCCGCGAACAGGGAAGAAGGGAAACCGGATCAACCCAAAGCGCGTCCCCGGACACAGAAGCCGTGGCGCGCAAATAACAGTGGAGGGCCACAACCGGACACAACACATGATGAACCCCCGGCCTGACCAACCAACCATCAACAACCCAAGGACCCCTCCGGAAAGCAGCAGTCTCATTCTTTGCCAGAAAAGAAGGAGACAGCTGCAGTCGAGCAAACCTATCTCCATGACCAAAAGAGCAGAAACCCCTGCACCAGAGGAGAGCATGAAGCTCCCCGACCCGACCCCCAAAAGCCAATGCCAACAGGAAAAGAGCCTTCGAAAAACAATCTTGAACCGAAGGGGCCACAATAAACTGAGGAGAAGAGATATAGGAGAGTACTCTGTCCAAAGATCAGGAAGGCTCAGATGGTGCATGAGCAGGACAGAGGTGAAACAATGCACGAGAAAGCTTGCGAAACGGCGCAGAAGTAACATCTATACCGAAAGCAAGCTGCAGCGGCTCTGCCAGCGCCGCACGATACGAGGCGACAGTATTCGGCATAAGATGACGGTCCTGGAACAACCACGAGAGAAAGGACAACACCACCCGAACCGAAAGCGAAGTACAACGACGAAGAGTCAAAAAGAAACGGAAGGACTGCCAGGAAACTTCATACTGCCGCCGAGACGAAGCCCGCAGGTGGGACACCATCAACGAAGCCACCTGATCACCATACAGATGGTGATAAACTCGAGTCAAAAATACCAAACGCGAAGACTCGAGGAGAAGAGCGAACCAGTCTCATAACGGACCAGGCCGATCTGCTGAAAGAGGCGGAGCCGCGGAAAAACCTCAGGGTTCGGACACCGAACATGTAGCATCTGAAACAAAGGCCAGGCCAGCCACCAAAGGGCCAAGAGGACTACTCTTCCTTGGTAAGTTGTCTCCAAGTGAGCTATGACTTGGAGCAACAGCTGAACCGGGGGAAAGAGGTACAGGAAACCCCACCTCGACCAGTCCTGCCAGAAGGTATCGATCCCGACGGCCTCGCGGTCGGGGAAGGGTGCCACATATACCGGAAGACGCCTCAACCATGCCGACACGAAGAGGTCCACCTCCGGGCGCCCGAACGTCTGGCAGAGCCAACTGAATGAGTCGGCACCGATCGTCCATTCTGTGGACAGGGGAACGAACCGGGACAGGCCGTCCGCCAGGACGTTGGACACCCCCCAGACGTGAACCGCCAGGAGAGCCAAACCCCGAGAACTCAGCAGACGAGTCACCCAAAGCGACCAGCCCCAAAGAGCCAAGGACCGCATCGAACCCCCTCGGTTCAGGCAATGAACCACCGGGGAGCAGTCCGAATGGAGCCGGATCATCGATCCGCGGGCGACCCGAACCCTCCAAAGCGCAAACCACACCGCCGCGAACTCCCTGGGCACCGTGCCGTGGGCCCAACAGAAGGACGGACCCCCACCGCTCCTGGCCGGCCTTTTGAGCCCTGGTCACAAAGCCCTAGCCGAGAGACGACACGTCCATGAACACATCGAGCGAGGGCTCGGGTAGGCGCCAAGGCACTGAACCCCGAAAAATCCGAAGAGGAAGCCGGCGACGCAGCAGCCGACACAAGGCCCCCGGGGGTCGAACCCAGCGATCGCGAGAGAGGCGGAAGGGACGTCCCCGAAGGAACCAGAACAGCCGACGAAGCCAAACCCGACCGGGTGGGTAGACCATCATCGCAAAGTTCAGGCTCCCGCACAAACCCTCGAGCAACCGCCGGGTGACCCGGGAGCCCCCCAGAAACAAGCACATGCGGCACCGCAGCCGAAGGAGAGACTCCGGAGGAAGAGACAAGGAAGTGGTCCGAGAGTCCCACACAAGACCCAGCCAGGTCTGAACCTGGGAGGGAACCAGATGGGACTTCCGCCAGTTCACCAGGAACCCGAACCCGGCTAGCTGGGAAAGCACCAAACCCCTGGCGAGCAGACACGCGGACCGACTGGGAGCCCAAACCAGCCAGTCGTCGAGGTAAGCCAACACCCGAACATCTAAAAGATGCAGATGGGCAACCACGACCCTGGTAAGGCGTGTGAACATGTGAGGTGCCAGGTTCAACCCGAAAAGGAGACAACAAAAGCAGTAACTCTGATGCCCCACAACAAAACCGAGCCAGTCCTTGAACCCCGGATGAATCAGGACATGCCAGTCAGCGTCCTTGAGGTCCAGGGACACCATCCAAGCGCCCGGCTCCAACAGAAGCCGGACCTGGGACAGAGTGGTCATCCGAAAGGAGGGGCAAGAAACCCAGGGGTTCAAACGGGACAAATCCAGAATGAACCGCGGATCCTCACAGTCCCATTTCGGAACTGGAAACAGGTGGGAAACCCATCTGAGGGACGTTGTCGTTTCGATCACGCCCAAGCAAACCTACTCCAAGATGACCTGACAGAGCAGGAGAAGAGGCCTGCTCAGCCAGCCCCGAACCCCCCGAAGGAGGCGGAGCCACCCAATGCCACCGAAGGCCGCGAGAAACGACTTGAGAATCCCACAAATTGCGAGACCAGGCATGAGTGAACAGAGCAAGCCTCCCCCCATCGCCCCGTCAATGGGGCGAACCGCGAAAGGGCCGACGCCCCTTACAAGAACCCGACCTGCGCACAGAGCGAACACTGTGCCGACCAGACGCAGACGGGACCGAAGGCGGCGACGGCTCCAAAACTGGCACCTGTGGCGTACCCTGACGGGGGAACCCTGAGCCCTCACACGACCCCCTCCAGGAAGAACCCACCCGGGACCCCCGGAGAACCAACAACTTGAACATTGCACGACAGCTGGAAGAAAATGCCTGCATATGCTGCTCAATCGCAGAGCCCGCAAACAGCAAGTGACAAAAGTGGTGAAGACAACCTAAGAGCCAGGGCCCAAGCGAATTCCAAGGAGGAAGGAAGCACAACCTGTCGACACTTGAGACGTGCACCGAAAAACCGTGGCAGCGCACCGGCACAAACAGCTTCAAAATCGCAGACGATGCACGAGCAGCCAAGACTAAGGCACCAGAGCCAGGAATGGCCCCAAGCACCTCTACATCCTCCCCAAGCCAATCCGAAGATAGCTCCAGGAGGGAAAAGAAAGGCAAGACCGAAGCCAGCAAGCCACGAGCGCACAAGTCATCAGCCACAAGCGCAGCCGACAGGGAGGGAACCTGCACGTGAAGCTGAATCGTGCCCACATCCTGCAGAAGAGCAGAAGTGAAAAGTCACTCATTAAGTCAACGCCTCGTGCCACTCAAACGTGCGGGTTCGACAGAACGAGTCCCAAGCATCCAGCGAAAACAAGGGGCAGTCTGCAAGCCAGGACGACCCCGGAACCTCATAACGAACCCAGTAAGGACATGAAGATCTAAACCTGAAGGAAGAAGGATCCATTATGGAGGCGTACTCCGGGTCACGCAGGAGGGAAACCGCCAAGGCCGACCGCACCTCAGACGGAGATACCTGGTTGATACCTGGTTGATGGGGTTCTGGGAGTTCTTCTACTCCCCAAGCCCGGCCCGAGGCCAGGCTCGACTTGTGAGAGTTTGGTCCACCAGGCTGTTGCTTGGAGCGGCCCGCAGGCCCACATACCCACCACAGCCCGGTTGGTCCGGCACTCCTTGGAGGAATAAATCTAGTTTCCTCTTGAAAATGTCCACGGTTGTTCCGGCAATATTTCTTATGCTTGCTGGGAGGACGTTGAACAACCGCGGACCTCTGATGTTTATACAGTGTTCTCTGATTGTGCCTATGGCACCTATGCTCTTCATTGGTTC